TGCAATCCTGCACAGTCCTTGCTGCCAGTCACAATCAGCAACACTGGGCTGGCTGGACCAGTGGCTTGATTGAGCATCATGGGAACCTAAGGTTTTACCTGTTATTTCTGACAAGGTACTCTGTTGATGCAGCATCAGCCACTGAGGTAGACTCCAGGTCAGCCTCTGCACACTTTTCAAAACGGCAGACAAAAAGGAGCTGCAATCACAGGAAAATACAGGAAGTAAAAATGCTACAAATGCAAAATAGATGGTAACAATTTGTGGCAAGCTGAATTCTGTGCTTGTGTTTTGAGTCAAAAAGCTAATGCCTACACAAAGCCTCACAGTGACAGATGTGATCAAACTTGCATTTCCTGACTTGTGGCTTCACCATCACCATCATTATTTTCATTTTATACTCCCTAATATCCAAGACTCTTTGGGTGGTTCAAAAAATTTACATGGTGCAAATAGAAAATAGAAAACTTAAAATCTTTAAAAATCACCTATAAACAGTTACAGTAAGGTTCTGGACCTGCAAACTATAAATGCCCATCATATGCCATCAACTGCTTAGGAGAAGAAAATAGTCTTAACCTGGTATTGGAAAGATGACTTTGTTGGAAATGGTCATCCACATAGAGCAGAACTACTGCAATTCAGTACCCCCTACTCCCAGCTCAGATAGTTGTCCCAGAAGGATTATACTCAATCGGATTGAAAGTCACCAAAAGGATGAAGAATATCAACAGGGTCACACTCCATCTGTTCTCTTTCCCAAAAGAGGTCATCAAAGAGGGTGGCCAAGGCTGCTTGTGTCAAAACCTGGCCTGAATCTCAAAAGAAATGGAACCAGATAAACTGTCTCAGTGCTTTTTTAGCACATACAGTACTGTAAAGTATTATTCAATACTTTATATTGAATACTTATTATTCAATAATAATATTGAATAATGGCTCCAAAGAAAGTACAGAGCAAGCATGGCGGTAGAAAGAACGTGCCGAGCGGTAATGAAGATGACAAGAACATGCAGAGCAAGAATGGAAAGAAGGAGGTTTTAAACAAAATAACCATTGAATTGAAGAAGGAAAGTGTAGGAAAGCATGAGCGTGGTATTCGTGTGACTGATCTGGCCTCTGAGTACATGATGGTGAAGTCGACAATCTTGACTATTTTAAAGAATAAACATAGAAACATAGAAACGGAGCAAGTCAGAAGGGGTCTCCCAGGCCATCTAGTCTGACCCCCCGGCTCCAGCCAGCTCTGCTCACGACATGCCCACCATGTGCATGTCCAGCCTATCTTTGAACACCTTTAAAGAATAAGGAGCTGATGTGGCAAAAGGAGTAATGATGTTAACCAAGCAGAGGGCACAAGTGCTGGAAGAGGTGGGAAAACTTTTGCTAGTGTGATTGAATGAAAAACAGCCGGCAGGTGATAGCGTTAGTGAAGCTATGCTCTGTGAAAAAAACAGGAAATTGTACAGTGATTTCCTGCAAAACAAACAAATAAACAAAAAAACCCTCTACAAGTGCAGCAAGTGATGAATTTAAAGCCAGTAGAGGGTGGTTTGATAAATTCTACAAGAGAAGTGCCATCCACAGAGTGATAAGACATGGTGAGGCTTCCAGTTCTGACAAGGCTGCTGCAGAAGCCTACAAGAAAGAATCTGGAGAATTCACGAAGGCAGAAGGATATGTCACTCAACAAGCGTTCAACTGTGATGAAACAAGGCTCTTCTGGAAGAAGATGCCGAACCGAACCTATAACACGCAGGAGGAAAAGGCACTGCCAGGGCACAAGCCCATGAAGGACAGATTGACGCTTTTGCTGTGTGCGAATGCAAGCGCTGATCTGAAGATTAAGTCACTACTTGTGTACCATTCCCAGACCCCTCGTGCATTCAAGGAACAGAATGTGAACAAGGCCAGACCGCCTGTCATGTGGAGGGCCAATGCGAAAGCTTGGGTCACAAGGCAATTGTTCATGGAACGGCTGCATGAGGTGTTCCCACCGTTTAGAAATATCTTTCTGACAACCAACTGCCTGAAGGGTGCCTTCTTCTGATGGACAATGCCCCGGCACACCCTCCAGCCTTGGTGGATGATATGGATGCTGAGTATGACTTCATAAAGGTCAAGTTCCTCCCCCCAACTTGATACCTCTTCTGCAGCCCATGGACCAGCAAGTGATCTGCAACTTCAAGAAGCTGTACACAAAGAGGTGCTCTTCACCAGGTGTTGTAATGTCACTGAGATGTCCTTGACTCTCAAAGAGTTCTGGAAGAAACATTTCAATGTCCTCCACTGCATCAACCTCATTGACAAAGCCTGGGAAGATGTCATGTACCGGACCTTAAAACTCAGCCTGGAGGAAACTGTGGCCAGAATGTGTCACTGAATGTGTCACTGAATTCAGCTTTGAAGGGTCTGATGCACAGGTAGTGGAGGAGATTGTGTCCCTGGGCAAGAGGACGTCCTAGGTCTGGACGTCAATGGTGCAGACATAGAGGAGCTTCTTGAGGACCATAAGGAGGAGCTGATGATGGAACTTGTTAAACTCCAGAGTGAGCAGCAGAAGGCGCTTGTTGAGGAGCATTCCACTGAGGATGAGGAAGACAGGGAGGAGGTTAGCAGTGATGCGATACAATCCATTATGGAAAAATGGAATGAGTGCCAGGATTTCTTTGAGAAGCACCACCCCAACATAACTGTAATGGACAGAGTGTTGGATCTGATGAATAACATGGTCTCTCATTTCTGGAGGGTTATGCACCAAAATTGACCCGCAGCTAAGAGACAAAGAAGAGAGGAAACCCCTGAAGGAGATGGAGGGGGACTCTCCCTCCAAACAATAACCTCCGCCCCCACCTAGGTTAGTGTTCTCCACTATACTGTACAGTACTTTGTTAATTGGTTGTTGTCACTTTGTTTCAAATTTCTGTGATTAAAAAAAAATATTTACAGAACAGATTAGCCTTATTTACATTGAACCTCATTGGAAAATTTGATTCGGTTCGTGACCAAAATCAGTTTGTGACCATGTTCGTATGGGTCAGAATGGATTAACCTTATTTACATTGAACCTTATGGGCAAATTTTACTTGATTCGCACCCAATTCAGGTCGTGACCAGAATCGTGGAACGAATTTAGTTCATGAACTGAGGTACCACTGTATATTGCATGGGCAAATATAAAGCTGTCCTTTTGCTGTTCATTGCAGCGAACACAAGCTGTTTTTTTCCAATCCCAAAGAGAATTTTTGGAAGGCTTACTGAAATAAGAAAAGCTCATGAAGAAAGCTATAGAGCTGAATGGGATCAGTCAATTTATTTGCTGAACATGAACAGTTCACCAGAGTGAAAGTGTTTGCCTCCGTCACAATACCCCAATTGCAATCAGTGCAATATTTACTGTGGATTTGCCAGACAAGTGTGGGTGTTTTGCTCAATACTCTCTATTTAACTCATTGAGGGCACTCTCTGGGCACGTCAGACAAGTCATAAGCACTCAATCTTTCCGTTTAATAAATTTTGCATAGTGGAGCTCTCAGATGACATTTGGTTCTAATATGATTCAAGTATTCTCCCATCAGCCTTAGCAGATCACAAGGCTAAAAGGAACTGCTGTTTCCAAACTTTCCTGAAGTTCCACACTGACCCATCCATCATGCCATGTGCTGGAAGAGGGGCAGGAGGGGGACCAAGCTAGCGTGAACTGATGCGGTTGGTGTTTTTTGAACCATAGGAACTCCTTCAGGGAGAGTCTAAGTGTATATGATTTTGGCATCTTTAAAAATGCATTTGGTAATGAGTTAAAGCAAGAAGGATGTTGAGGTTTTGGTATTGTCTGAGAGTCACAGCATGGCTATGGCTGTCTGGAACAAGGTTCTTATGTTAAGATGTTGGAGTGGTTAACTTGAAGTTAAGAAAGATACTCAAAGTAGCCACATAGAAAATGCATATGCAGGCAACCACTCTGCACACCAATAACAAAAACAGTCTAATTTAATGCAGCAAGTGTCAGACTTGGCTTTCAGCATCAGATTAACTTAAAATCAAATTCAGTGTCAAGTACTTTAGATCCCAAATATAAAGACATTTGTGAATTTTAGAAAATCATTTAGGAACTGAACTAAAATTCTCTTCCATTTGTGCTGGCCAAATTCAGCAGATACTGTTATTCTGAAGCTTGAACAGGATCACATTGTACCTACTTGCCATTAGCTGTTAATGATGAGCAGCCAGTAAGAACAAGAGAAGCAGGAATCCTAATTCAGCACTACAGACTTGGCTGAATACACAAAAATCCAAAACCAGACTTTTAAGAGCTACACACTCAAACCCCTGAAGCTGGATGGACAAATGTCAGTTTTGATTTCTCCCACATTCCATTTTTAAATCCCCAAATCTTTCCACCTTGTATAAGAAATGTAATTTTTTTGTTTTTGCTTTTTATCAAAGCCACACTATAATGAAATCTTCACCTGTCTCTAAAAGACAAAAGCCATGGCCGTTTTCATACCAGCAATCAGAAGGCTTGTGAAAGCAGATCTCCATTTCCACAAGCAGAGATGGAAAGTTGCACTTTATGGCAGGTGGAACACCCTCCAGGGACTACAGGAGCACAACCGCTGTGTTTTAGATCAGTTTTCCTCAACCTCGTGCCACTCAGATGCATTGGACTCCCGTCACCCCATCCAATAGACCAAGGGTAATGCTAGCTGGTGGTGAAGGAAATTGTAGTACAATGCACAAGCAAAGTGCCATGTCAAGGGATCTTGCTCTGGATTATGTTATAGCATAATACTGCCTCAATAGTTTATCTGAAATAACCTACTGACTTAGATGAAAAAAACTTTTATTCAAAACAGAGTGAATACAAAACATCACTAATCTAATGAAAGGACACATTTCCACAAGCAAGTAGGGATGAACTCCAGTGTTCAGCAAAATATTGGGGAAGCATTTTCTTATACTGCAAAAAAGTATCTTCCCACCCCATTATTCTGGTGTGTTTATAAGATGACATTATCTCCATTGAGTGGTTGAGTTTGGTCCGCTCTCTGCAAAATCACTTTAAAGTCCTAGAGAAATAAGAGAAAGGCAAATTAGAAAGATATTCCCATCCACTTGACTATTGTGGGTTATTGGCGCAGATTCTCCCAACAGCAACCAGAAAAATAGTTCCATAATATTTACTGCTTGCTTTGAAACATTCAGGTAAATACCAAACATGTAAAACTAACTAAAACCTTCTTCTGTGGTAAAAAAAAATTAGCACCAGAATAATGACCCCAGGAAAATGCCTAAGATGAAAGGAAAACATTTCAAATCCTCTTACACTGTGAAGTTTTAACATGGCCTTGAGTGCTACTAAGGGACCAGGGCTTCATTTTCCCAATTTATATCGTTATAAGTTATTCTTTCTAAACAAAACTAATATTTCTAATTAATACAGAATAGTTCTAATCATAGATCATAGACATACAAATTCTACAAAGAAGTATCCCAAGGACTTAATTCACAACCCTCCAACATAACATGAAGGCTTAAATTAGCAAAAAAGTTATGAAGCAGCCTTATAGCTTAAATTCTGACTTTACCTAGATTCCATTATATCTACATTCTAAACTAATGTGTATTTCCTAAACCAATAATAGTAATATACCACAACTTCATAATTTTTACAAGAAAATGAATCAAAAACAGGTCTGGTGTGCAACAACCAACCAATAACTCTACCTTTCTTGGTTCATATTTTAAAAGTTGTTATTTGTGTGTGGGGAAAATCCTAAACTTTGAACCCTTTAAGCACAAGCAACAATGTGCTCCATTTGTACAGCCGTCTCAGATGGCTGGCCCTGACCCAGGGGAGCGCTCCATCTGCCTCGTTAATGGTCTGTAAAAAAAACAAACAGGTAAACAAACAAACCAATAAACAAAAATCCTCCATCTCAGCTTCTTGAGTATCGTCTGTGTCTTGTTAACTTTGGTGGGAGAGGATCCAAAAGGCACTTGGGAAAGACATGTGGATCTTGCAAAGGATTGCAGAGAACTGGGAAAGCCAGGCTGATAAAGGAGCAATGGCTAAGTACGGGGGAAAGGGTGATCCATCCGGCTTGGAAGGAAGGTGGAAGGGGTACTCACCATTGTGCACTGGGACATGAGGCAGACTTGAAATAACCAATGGGAAATCCAGTTAAGAAAAGGAAAGGGATACAGGAGCCTGGTCTGTGTATGAGGACAGAAATAAGGTAAAGGTTTCCCCATGACATTAAAGTCCAGTCATGCCTGACTCAGGCTCATCTCCGTTTCCTGGCCAAGGGAGCCAGGGTTTGTCCGCAGACAGTTTCTGTGCTCATGTGGCCAGCGTGACTAAACACCGAAGTGCACAGAAGGCTGTTACCTTCCCACTAAAGTGGTACCTTTTTACCTACTTGCATTTGCATGCTTTCGAACTGCAAGGCTGGCAGGAGCTGGGACGGAGCAATGGGAACTCACCCTGTCTCAGATTCGAACTGTCAACCTTTCAAACAACCAGCCCAGCAGCTCAGCAGTTTAACCCACTGTGCCACCCGCAGTCCTGAGGACAGGAATACAGAGGCCTATGCTCAGGCTTTGGAGGGTGCGTGCGGGGAGAAGTCTGACGCACGGGCAGGTTGGCCACTTATGAGTTGCCCAAAAAGGGGCAAATGAGGGCAGTGATTTGCACACCATTTTCTTACACTGATTTATAGGTATATATATAAATTTCAGAAATGCAATTGTAATTTTATTACATTGGATCTCACCATGCCATGGAAGGCTGTGACCAGGTGACCTGTATACCTCCCTCTTTAGCCTGTGCTCCAAGTGTGGCTGGTTCTTATGGCTCATTATTTTTAAGCTGGAATGGGACGGGATGCTTTCCAGTAACAGACAGTCCTTGGGCATCCCTTCAAGCAGAAAAATGCCTTCTGCAAACACCTGGCTATCCTACCACAGGGACAGAAAAGGCCAGAGCCAGAGTTGGTACCAGAAGCAGGTGCTGCAGGATGGAACATTTTTCACAGCTTTATCTTTCTGCAGAAAAAAGAATCCCCATTCTTTGATATGCACTTTTTCATAAAGTTAATTATTAACAATGTGTAGGGTTGGATCTAAACTACATTTAGTGTCACAGGCTTAATTATGTTTATGTTCCACAGAAAACAATGAGACAAGTTAAACTGTGGAATTTACTCCCACAAAAGGTAGTGATGGCCCCTAATTTATTTATATGGGTTCAAGGGGAGATTGGACAAATTCATGAGGGATAAAGCTATTAATGGTTTCCAGTCCTGATGAGCATAGGGCATCCTCAGTATCAGAGGAAGTATGCTCATGTACAGCCGGGGCCAGATGGTACTGTTACAGGTACATCCTGTTTGTGGGCAACTGTGTGAACAGAATCCTGGACTAGATGCACCCTTGGTCTGATCCAGCTGGGCTCTTCTTATTGTGATATGAGTCATGTGCCATTGGCCTCAATGGGACCGATGTGTAACTTATTTAGTCCAGACCCAACCCATTGAAGAATGCAAGTCAAACTGAGCAACTGGAATGTATGCAATACTAGTCATATCTAAACAGCACAGTTCTATTTAACTTTTTTCCAATTGGCCATTGCAAAGAAGTGCATATGTTTAAGTGTGTATCTCTTCAAGCAAACTAAAATTAGCTATTGCAAAGCTTCCGTTTGTTTCATTTTTGCTTAAAATCTAACTAATAAGGAAAGTATAGCCTTAAGTGTTTGTGCTTTAACTTTTTTACATGGATTACAATAAAATGATTTCCAAGTAAAGCTTTGAAGCTGACAGACAGCAGAGATGGGGAATGTCTAGCCCTGCGCCTTCCTCTGGCTTCTGCTCTTCTCTCAACCCGAAGCTTTAATTGCCTAATTGCAGTGCTGAGGAGGAAGGGCCAACCCTCCCCCAACACACAGTGCAACTCGCCCTCCTCAAAATCACCCCAGCAGTGATGGAAGCTTTATCAAGAGTCCATCTACAGTAGGAGAGAACTGACAGGTGACGCCACATGAGTGTGCATGCGAATGAACATTTGTGCATGCCACATGGCTGATGGGGTGTGTGTTTGTGTGCAAGAGAGAGAAAGGGAGAGTACCGGGTTTGGGTAATCATGTCGAGGCCACATGCCAGCAATGGGGCGGGGGGGGGGGGCTGAGCACTGCTGGCATGCAGCCCTCAGCATGCTTGCCCAGAACTAATTCTGACCGTAGCCTCCCAGATTTCCCCACTAAAGGCTGAAACCACACAGGATGTACTTCGCTGATTTTTCTAGGACATTTCAGTTTGACTCTTTCTGGCTATTGGGAAAAGAGACTTAGGCACAGTAAAGTGAATATGTCAGGAAGATGTGGGATCTGGACAGGTGAGAAGTAAGAGTGTGAGGGTATGTATGAGGCAGAACAAGGGACCTGGAGCATGCATGTGTGTGTGAAGGGGGGGGGAGCAGAGAGGAGGCGGCACTTAAGGAAGAGAGAGATATGTGTGCTTATCTAATACAACAGGGGACAATTTGCTGGAAATAGTAGAAATGAATAGTATCAGATACCTTACAAATTCTTTGTCAGGACCGCAACAACAAAAAAGCTACAGCACTCTGTGATTCAGGCTGAGAGGAATTTGTTTCAAAGAAAAATGACACTTTTCAAAGAACTGCCCATTAAGAATGAATAACTGTAAAGATTTCTGGAGTGACTCACATCTTCCCAGCATCATTGCACATCAAGAGATGAGGAAATCTCGAGAGTGGTGCTTTTGCATTGTGCTTCAGGGCTGTGTGCATGGATATGTGCCTGCACGGTGTTCTATGGGCCCACGGGGCAAAGCGCATGCCCCGTGGGCCCATCCTCTGCCCTCCGGGGTGGGGTGGGAGCTGGGTGAAACCACCCCTACAGTTGCCCGCAAGAACATATCACGGCACGGTACTGTACGAAATTAAAACACAGGTTAGACTTAGCCGCCTGGTGTTGCTTTGACTGCTGGGCCATGAAACAATTACATACATGGAAATGAAATAATATGAACAGTGGTTCCTCTTAACAGAGTGCTGGGCTTGGACAAGCCCTCACTATTATGCTTCTCCTAACTTTGGTTGTTTCATAATCTTACCAAAATCTTGAGAGGCATGATTCAGAGCACAATCTTCAGTCTAAGGACTGTAACAATCTAATCATATTTTTTTTCTAGGCTGAAATTAATGTTGGGGAAGGAGAAGACAACATGGCCGACTTCTTGGCCAGGAACATACTGAAATTTGATGGGGGCTGCCCGGCTGTTCTTAAAACCGTTCTGCCCCAGAATCTTGTTCTGAAGGAGGATATGCTGGAACACGCAAGTCTCTGGAGCAACTGGAGGATGAAAGGTGCTAAGAAGTGGGTCAGGTTATGGTTTTCATTTCTGCCGGTCTCTTGTGCCAGGCAAAATGCAAACTGTGCATGCTTTTAAATGTGTAAAGACCTCCAGGTGGGGAGGAGGCCGATCACTATCAGGATTACAGCAGACGAGGAGGGGGAAATCCCTACCCTGAGAGGCAGTTTTTTATTAGGAGGAAAATCCCCATCAGCATCAACAGGGGATTTCCTTCCAATGTAAATTCCTGCTTCAGAGAAGGAATTTTTCTAAGGACTACAGAAGAAGAAGAAAGAATGTAAAATTACCTCTCTCCACTAGGGTGCCCATTTATGCATCCCAAAAAGAGATTGAGGGGCGATGGACAAAAGACAGATTTTTAAAAAATGCATATGCTAATTTACCTGTTTAGATGCACATTCTTTATATTTATATAAGAGTTTATATTCTTTTCAGTGCCAGGTGAAAACCTTTTTATTCAAATGTTGTTTTAGAACTAGTGATTTTAGAAGCTAGCAGTCGCTTTTTAAAATGTATCTGATTGTATTTTCTGAATATTTATTATTCCTATTTATTGTTTATATATTGATGCTTATTGTTGTTTTAATGTTGTAAGCCATCCTGAGACGTTGTTGTAAAGGACGGCATATAAATGTTTTAAATAAATAAATTCAAAACAACTACTACAATTT